ATTTGTGAATAAATGAGGTAAATTTTACTTAATTTGATCAAGTATATGTTACAAGATTTAATTTTAAATTTACTTAACAAATGTTAGTGCAAATTGTTACGAGGATTTTTTCAAGTACATCTTACAAGTTTTTTTTTCAGTGTATACGTTCCATAAATATGACAGGTAGAAGTAGCAGATACTGTATATATCCAGTACCTATCAGGTAAGTAGCACAAACATACAGATATGTAGCAAGTAAGTATTAGGTAAGTATTTCATAATACTACCTGGTTCCTATAGGTACTAGACATGTACCCAAAACCAACCATCCCTTGGTTATATGCTAAAAATTAAATGAAGATTTGAGAAAAATATGATTTTTATGAGTTCCTTTTCTGTTTCATTACAAAAGGTTTTCCATGTTTTTCTTCAAACAACCAAAATGTCCAACAGATCCTACAAACTGATGAGCCCCACTGATCTCTAAGGATAATATCAACATTTGTACACGTTGAGTAAAAAAAGGATTAATTTAATTTTGCCTGCAAAACAAAATAATCATGCTTGTGAATGTATTTGTCTGTGTTGGGCTAGCAAAACGTCTCATATAGAGTTGTACAGATTTTAATTAAACTCTCAAAACAAACAACTGAATAAGTTTGTAGTCAAGATGTCAGCCAGGTTTATTTCAGTCAGTGATATCAACATGCAAACAGAAAAGAAAGTGTTTTAAAAATAAATGCATTTTTCTTACTGTAAAAACAGCTGCAAAGCTGCCAGTTGCTATAGATTTTGTAGCTAAACCTCTGGCATTTGGTGCCAAACAAAGAGCGACCTTCAGCAGCAAACATGACCGTTTGTAAAGAGTAAAGGAATCTGAAAAACCTTGTAAYGACCAGAAAAAACTTCAAAGTTCTGTAAAAAGTACATCAACATTATTTAAAGGGGCAATATTATGTGTTTCTCAGGCATAAATTTAAATACTATACCATAATCATGTATCTATGTCACCTTTAGCTGTTATTAAAATGCTGTTTTTATGTTTAAATAGAAAATAAACTTATCTTCTCATCACTTCCTTTTCTAAACGCCTTGAAATTGRCCTCTGTCTCTTTAAGAACCACCTTCAGCTTCTGCTCTGTCCCGTTCGGTGAGAAGGGGTTATCTGCAGAATCAAAGTGGGCGTGTCACAAGAGTGGGCGTGTCTAAAGCATAAACACTGTGCGCTATGAGGCCTTCATAACGGTATCCTTAGATCCTGCTTGATCTCTTTACAGCCTGACCCTGACCCCAACACTAAGGTTAACCAGGAGAAATGTGACCCAAGTAGGGGTCTCCAGAAAGGTATCGCCCCTTTTTTGCTTGTCCAGTCAGGTGTGTCCCTTTAACAAAGTCCGTCAAATCAGATGTGTTGCTTTAGAATCGCCTTTCCTTGTCACACGCCCATTCATCCGCAGAGACCCCTACTTGCGTTTGGTGGTGGTGGTGGTGGTGGGGGGAGGTGCGTGCGTGCGCTATGATGCAGTTTACCCGGCATCTGAAAATACATTTCCTCAAAGGTATTTTTAAYCTGAAAAGAGCTTCACTGAGTGAGAACTAATATTGAGAGCTCAGCAGACAGTTAAGTTTCACTTTCACTTCGACCCGAGAGCCTGCAGGAGTCATGGGCGGGGTGTGTGGGGAG